TTTGTTTTTAATAGAGACAGTGTTGCCATGTTGCCCTAGATGGTCTCATTTTTTTTGGCTCAAGCGATCCTTCTCCCTCAGTCCCCCAAAGTGCTGGGACTGCAGACATGAGCCACTGCACCTGGCCAGGGCTAGTTTTGATCATGCCCTGCTCTTTTTTTTACATAGGTCCTTTTCAGCATTGTCCATGGAGGAGGAGTTAGAGCTTTTTTTTTCTGGCCCCTTCCTTTACACACCAAGACCCCAGCCCCCCAGAGGGGTTTTTTTTCAGGGCTGTCGCAGGTCATGAGGATGTGGGGGGTGGCACAGGGTTTTGAACCTAAAATGCCCCCCACTACATCCTGTTCAGCTCTGCCCCATCAGGTCCCCACACATGCCTATGGGAAACGGGGGCACAGCCCTTGGGAAGCGTCACCGAAGGGGCCCTGTGTCCAGTGGGGGAAGGGGCTGGGAGAGGAGGGTGAGAACATTCTTTTTTTTCTCTCGGGAGAGGAAATAGCCTGTCCTAGGTGCATTGTGGGACCCGGACAGGCCCCTGCTGGGGACTCTGTCGCTGCAGGAACCACTGAAGGATGTGGTTTTTTTTTCTAAGGCCCCAGGCAGTGCCCCACACTACACCCAAAACAGCACATTTTTTTTCCTTGCTCTGCCCCTGCAGATTCCCCTGAGAGGCCCCAAGAAGGCCTCCCCGAGCCCTGGCTACTGTCTCCATTTCTCAGCGCCAAGCAGCTGGAGCCTGGCCCTGAGAAGGGTCTGGATGGTCCGGCAGCCCTTCGTGGTCCTGCCTGCGGACACACCCCCATCTCTGAAGAGCTGCTAAACCACATCAGGACCTTCCCACTCTCCTCTTCCCTCTCCTTCCTTCCCGCCCCACCTCAAAGCAGGGCTTTCTTCTCAAGACCTTCTGGGAAAAAGATTCTTTTTTCTTTTCCTTTTTCTTTTTCTTTTCTTTTTTTTTTTTTTGAGACAGTCTCACTCTGTCACCCAGGCTGGAATGGAATGCAGTGGTGCAATCTCGACTCACTGCAACCTCCGCCTCCTGGGTTCAAGCGATTCTCCTGCCTCAGCCTCTGGAGTGGCTGAGACTACAGTCACGCGCCACAATGCCTGCCTAATATTTGTAGTTTTAGTAGAGATTGGGGTTTTGCCATGTTGGTCAGGCTGGTCTTGAACTCCTAACCTCAGGTGATCCACCCGCCTCAGCCTCCCAAATGCTGAGATTATAGGCATGAGCCACCGCACCTGGCCTCTGTTTTTCAAAAGAGTTTGGGGCTTTGTTGTGAGGGCCTTTTACATTTTAAGTTTCGGGTCCTAACCATCTCCTGCTTCCACCCAGAGCTGCCTCCCGAGTGCCAGCCCGGGGCTTCCAGAGGGCTGTCCACTCACACTGCTCAGTCTCCTGAAGGGACTCCCTGGAAAAGGGGGCTCCTTCTCTAATAGGTAACTTCCTAAACCTCCCCCCGACACACAAAACAAAACATGCGGCCCGCTCTCCACAGAGGGAGAGCAGATCACCCTGACCAGAGCCGGCCCTCTCACTGTTCTTCCTGTTCCTTGCCTGGTGGCAGCAGGCATTTGCCAGACCCCTTGGCTCAGGACAGCACTGGGTGCCATGGGGCCCAGAGAGCGTGGCAGGACCCCCGTCCCCAAGACAGACGGTAGATCTTGGTGGGGAGAGGGAACTTACATACGTTTATGTTTGGTTTGAACGTTAAACAGTTTGTCATTAAGTGGTAACATACAGGACAGTGAAAAGGCTTTGTGAGTTCGGTGACACGAGGGACAGGAGGACAGGTCCTTCCCCATGAGGATGGAGCAGGAGGGGCACAAGTGGGTCTGGAAGCTGTGAGGAGAGGAGGAACCCAGCAGAGGTGCCTGGGGAGGGCGAACCAGGCCTGCAGCTCTATAGGTGACCCAGCCTCGTCCAGATAGAAGCAGTGACTGGTGGCTCTTGGGCCTTATAAAAGGAAAACTTCTGCCGAATTACATTTAAAGGAGTTTAATTGAGCAATGAATGATTCGCAAATCGAGCAGCCTTCTGAGCCAGAGGAGACTCAGAGACCCCAGCTCAGCCATGTGGTGGAAGAAGATTTGTGGACAGAAAAAGGAAAGTGACCACAGAAAACGGGAGTAAGGCACAGAAACAGCTGGATTGGTTACAGCTCAGCGTCTGTCTTATTTGAACACAGTTGGAGCAGTTGGCTACATGTGATTGCCAAAACTCAGTGACTGGCACACGTGTAGGCTACCGTCTGTTTACACCTCCACCTGTTACAGTTCACAATGTACAGAAAACCCTTTGGGCCAAACTTAAAATATCTATGGAGTCAGCTCCAGGCTAAATGTCATCTAACAGGCCATGTCCACTGGCATCTTTGGTTTGACTTGCGTAATTCAAAATTTATTTTAAAATTTTTTCTCCCTGTAAGATGTAAGATATCAGACGATGAGTGCGGCGGCTTACTTGAGGTCAGGAGTTCAAGAGCAGCCTGCCCAACATGGTCATAACCCCAGGTCTACTAAAAATATTTTTAAAAAATTAGCCAGGCCTGGTGGCAGGTGCCTATGATCCCAGCTATGCGGGATGCTGAGGCAGGAGAATCACTTGAACCCGGGAGGCAGAGGTTGCAGTGAGCTGAGATCACACCACTGCACTCCAGCCTAGGAGACAAGAGTGAAAACTCTGTCTCAAAAAAAAAAAAAAAAAAAGATTTGCGATATCAGACCCAAAGCCAGATTCTGCTTCTCTGAGAACACAATCCATGATTGTACCAGTCTCCTCAGGCTGTTATAACAAAGTACCACCTACTGAGTGGCTTAAAACAACTAAAATTTAGCCCCGTCCTGAAGGCCAGAAGTTCAAAATCAAGGTGTTGGCAGCACCACGCTCCCTCCGAAACTCGAAGGGGAGGATTCCTCTTTCCCTCGCCCTGGCTTCTGGGGTTGCCAGCAATCCCTAGCGCGCCTTGGCTGCCGCGGCGTTGCTCCGATCTCTGCCTCTGCCAGCACGAGGCCTTCCCTCTGTGTATGTTTCTGTGTCTCTTCTCTTCTTATAAGGACACAGTCATGTTGCATTAGGGCCCACCCTAGTCCAGCAAAATCTCGTCTAGACTTGGTTGATCTGAAAAGACCCTGTTTCCAAATAGGGTCACATTCACAGGTCACATTCTGCCTGTGCGATGTGCCATGATTTATTTAACCTCCTCTTGACGGGCCTCTGCATCTCCAGCTCTGCTTTCAAAAGCACCATGGTAATGAATAAGGCATACACTCGCCACTTAGCAATGACATAAATAAGTCCATAGAAGAAATAGACTTGTTTCTATCAGTTAGAAATAAGTTGAAGTGGACAACGTTTAACTCCCAGAAGATTCATGTCTCCAGTCTTCCTTCAGGCCTCCGCTAGCACCATTGCCCCTCCCAGTATTTGCTCCCTCCCTTTTCCTGACCATCTAAATCTGTTTCACTTTTTAGACCCCATCCCAGTCCCACCCTTTCCCTGAAGTCTTCTTGGGTATTTATCTTCGCAGTGAAGTCTTGCGCCTGGGAACTTACAGTGGTAATGATCATGTTGCACGTTTTGGTAGGAATAGCACTTCCATCCCCTCCCCCTCCGCCTCTCTTCCCCTTCCCCCTCCCCCTCCCTTCCCCTTCCCCCTCCTCTCCCTTCCTCCCCCGTTCCCCTTCCCTGCTCCCCACCCCTCCCCACTCTCATCCTCTTCTCCACCCTGTCCCCTCCCCTCCCCTCTCCCACTCCCCTCCCTCCTTGCTCCCACCTTCCCCCTCCCCTCCTCCCACCTCCCCTCCCTCTCACCCCCCCCTCCCGTCCCCCACCTGTCCCCCCCCTCCTTCCCACCTCTCTCCTCTCCTTTCTTCCCTCTCTCCCTCCTCCCCTTCCCCTTCCCCCTTCCCCTCCCTTCTCCGTCCCCTTCCCCCCCCTTGCTTCCTCCCCTCCCATTCCCTTCCCCTCCCTCATTCCCTTTCCTCTCTCGCTCCTTCCGCTCTCCCTCCCCCTCTCAGGTAGCGTGGGTCCCGTGGCTTTCTGCAGGCATTGGGCTGGCATCTCTGCTGCAGCACTCTGAACTTTTCCCATGTTTTACCTCAATAAATATGGCCACCACTTGTTTGGCTCTCTTGGCACCATGCTGGGGAAGGAAGGAGAGGAGACTCAAATGATTATTTGGACCTGAATGGAGGACAATTAAGCATCTGGGGTGTGTGTAAAATTCCACCAGAAAACTCAGGACGGTTGTGAAGCACCCCTTCCCAACGAGGGGGATGCTGCACGACAACCGAGGGTGGATAGTGAGGCGTTTCACAGCCATGATTTCCTGTACAGAGCACTTGATATCGGGGTCATTTAGAAGCTTTTCTCAATGTAAAATATTCTAGTATAATTTGGCTATACATTGTAACTATTAGAGTGTATTGGGCAAAGCCAGAATGGAGTGAGAGCCCTCCCTGCGACGGCTGCTGCACCGTGCCCGATGGTGTGTCCCTTCCTGGAGGCCAGACCTCTAACTTCCCCGATATCCCTTCCTGGAGGCCAGACCTCTAACTGTCCCCAATGTCCCTTACTGGAGGCCAGACCTCTGACCACCCCCGATGTCCCTTCCTGGAGGCCGGACCTCTGACCGCCCCTGATGTCCCTTCCTGGAGGCCAGACCTCTAACTTCCCCCGATGTCCCTTCCTGGAGGCCGGACCTCGGACCGCCCCTGATGTCCCTTCCTGGAGGCCAGACCTCTAACTTCCCCTGATATCCCTTCCTGGAGGCCGGACCTCTAACTGTCCCCAATGTCCCTTACTGGAGGCCAGACCTCTGACCACCCCCGATGTCCCTTACTGGAGGCCAGACCTCTGACCACCCCCGATGTCCCTTCCTGGAGGCTGGACCTCTGGCTGCTCTTGGTGTCCCTTCCTGGAGGCCAGACCTCTGACCGCCCCCGATGTCCCTTCCTGGAGGCTGGACCTCTGACCGCCCTTGGTGTTTCTTCTGCAGCCTCCGGCCTCTCCTCCTCTCCGTCAACACCCACCCAAGTGACCAAGCAGCACACATTTCCCCTGGAATCCTATAAGCACGAGCCTGAACGGTTAGAGAATCGCATCTATGCCTCGTCTTCCCCTCCGGACACAGGGCAGAGGTTCTGCCCGTCTTCCTTCCAGAGCCCGACCAGGCCTCCACTGGCATCACCGACACACTATGCTCCCTCCAAAGCCGTAAGTCGGGGCCCTTCTGTGGGGGGGGCTGCCGGGTGGCAGACGGAGGGCAGAGCGGTTATCGCCCCAAGCCACACAGTCTGTCTGCAGCTGAGGCCAAGGCTGTGTGCTCCAGACGTCTTCAGGATATTGCATCATAAATCACAGGCTGAGGGAGAAATGGTGAGGGCACAATAGCAAATGGAAATAAAAAATAGCTGGGTGTGATGGCTCACACCTGTAGTCCCAGTACTTTGGGAGGCCGAGATAGGCAGATCACTTGAAGCCAGGAGTTCGAGACCAGCCTGGCCAGCATGGCAAAACCCTGTCTCTACTGAAACTGCAAAAATTAGCTGGGTGTGGTGGCGTGCACCTGTATCCCAACTACTCGGGACGCTAAGGCACCAGAATTGCTTGAACCTGGGAGGCAGACACTGCAGTGAGCTGAGATGGCGACACCACACTCTAGCCCCTGTGTAATGGAGCAGACTCTGTCTCAAAGAAAAAGAGAGAAAGAAACAAAATGAAAAATGATAACATCTGGGACATGACCTGGAGGAGGTTTTTTCCCCCTCAGCTTCTCAAAAATCATTCATTGAAAGTTTTGTTTGAATTTACCTTGATTGGGATACTTCAGTATTTGTAAAACGTCACAGGAAAAGCAAAAAAAAAAAAAAGTAAAACAAACAAGTGTTATTCTAGAGGTTTAAGATTTCGAGTCTGACATCATCAGACTTAGGATGCGCTCTTAGGAAGGGGAGCATTTCACAGAGGAGTGGGATGGAGCAACAGACCCGTGTAGCCTCCTGCACTTCCTGAGACCGAGGCAGCGAATCTCCACAGCTTCACTAAGCACTTAAGCACTGTCCATTTCAACACAATGGGCCCTACCGAGACCCCAGCTGTCACTGCTGGTTTAATTAGCACAGGTACCCAGTGTTATTCCAGTGCCCAGCAACAATGTGAGAGCCACATCCCTGAGTCAACCTGTATGGCTGGAACCACTCCATTCAGTTGCCACATTAGCTTCCTGGAGGATGACATAGTGCCACACACTGGATGGCTTCAAACAATAGAAATTTACTGTCTCACTGGTCCTGGAGGCCAAAAGTCCAAAGTCAAGGTGTTGGCAGGGCTACACGCCCTTCAAAGCCTCTAGGGAGGGTCCTTCCTTGCCTTCTCCGGCTTCAGCTTGTGACAGTGTTACTCCAGTCTCTGTCCCGTTCTCACATCACCATCTTCCCTTTGTCTTTCTTTGCATCCAAATTTCCTTTTTATAAGAACACAAGGCCGGGCATGGTGGCTCACATCTGTAATCCCAGCACTTTGGAAGGCCAAGGTGGGTGGATCACTTGAGGTCAGGAGTTCGAGACCAGCCTGGCCAGCATGGTGAAACCCTGTCTCTACTAAAAATACAAAAAATTAGCTTGGCGTGGTGGTGGGCACCTGTAATCCCAGCTACTTGGGGGGCTGAGGCATGAGAACTGCTGGAACCCGGAGGCAGAGGTTGCAGTGAGCTGAGATTGCACCACTGCACTCCAGCCTGAGTGACAGAACGAGACACTGTCTCAAAAACAAACAAACAAACAAAACGACACACACACAAGCTACAACTGGATGAGCCTGCACCCCTATCATCTTATCCTGATTATATCTGCAAAGACCCTGTTTCCAAAAGCTACCACATTCACAGGTACTGGGACTTAGAACTTCAACGTCTCTTTTTAGGAGACACAGTTCAATCTGTAACAACTGTTATCTTTTAGAAGAAGATGTGTTGCCGTGCTGAGAACATACCATTCCTATTCTTCTTGTTCATTCAGTTATTTTATTAAACGCAGGTGTAGCAAAGTATTGTTTTAGGTGCCAAAGGTTAAACTGCAAGGTATTGTTCCTGCCTTCTAGAGCTTACAGTCTGATTGGGAACTGAACAGTACTGGGGCGAAACAGCTCAGTAAAGGGGGAAAGCAGTTTGGCCGGGATAACAAGTGGCACAGTCGGCCCTACAGGAGGGAGAAACGGGAAAACTGCTGGTCGGATAAGGGCGATGACAGCTTCAAGGCATGTCACCAGCTGGGCTGAGCCTGGAGTACTGTCAGGGTTTACATTAAGGGAGAGGGAAGGGAGAACCTTCTAGAAAAGAAAATTAGGCTTTGACTAGAGATCAATGATTAGAATAACCTCATTCAAGAAGAGACAGTGGTTTGACGAGAAAACTATGATTTATTTGAGATGATTTGAAGTGATGGTGACAGACGCAGGGCTCTTCCGCGAGTCCCTGATGTTTCATGGCAGCAGCTTTGTGCTGGGGACAAGCCCAGAGCCTTCCCAGTTGAAAGAAAAGAGAATCCAGGGAGTGCTCTGGGTTTGCCGTCAGCTTCCTCCCTGGGAGTGTAACAGGAAAATGATGTTCTTAACTCTTTATAACCCAACTGTTTATACCTCACACAACCATGCAGCCCTCAGTCAAGGCCAACAAGTATAGGTCCTTCCAGGCTTGCCACGGTGGTCAGAGAGGGAGTGTCCTGGGGTCAGAGGGGGAGTGAGTGTGCTCAGCTGTGTCCCATACTCAGCGGCTGACCCAGAGCACGTGCCCTGGGCCAAGCACGCGGCTGGCAGCAGGAGTGTGCAGTCGAGTGAGATTTCAACAACAATCCAAATGTCGTGAATGGGTAAACAAATGTGGTGTATACAGATGATGGAAGAGTACCCAACCTTACAAAGGGAGGAAGTTCTGACACAGGCAGTGACAGGGAGGGGCCCTGAGGACCTCGTGCTGAGTGAAATCAGCCGGGCACAAAAGGACACGTACTGCGTAATGCCACTTGTGGGAGTCCCTAGAGTCATCCAAACAGAGACAGAAGGTAGAATGGTGGGTGCCAGGGGCTGCGGGGAGGGGAAAAGATGAGTTAGTGTTTTACGGAGACAGAGTTTCAGTTTGGAAAAGTGAAAAAGTTCTGGAAATGAATGGTGGTGATGGCTGCACAACACTATGAATGTATCTACTGCCACTGAACACTTGAAAATAGTTCAAATGGTGGCCAGGCACGGTGGCTCACACCTGTAATCCCAGCACTTCGGGAGGCCGAAGCGGGTGGATCACGAAGTCAGGAGATCGAGACCATCCTGGCTAATACGGTGAAACCCTGTCTCTACTAAAAATACAAAAAATTACTCAGGCATGATGGCAGACACCTGTAATCCCAGCTACTTGGGAGGCTGAGGCAGTAGAATCACTTGAACCTGTGAGGCAGAACTTGCAGTGAGCCGAGATCGCGCCACTGCACCACTGCACTCCAGCCTGGGTGACAGAGCGAGACTCCTCAAAAAAGATAAAAAATAGTTCAAATGGTAACTTTTATGTATATTTACCACCATAAAAGGAATGATCTGGTCAAGAGTCCAATTTTTATGTCATTTGAGCTTCTGAAAATCAGGCTGATGGCCCAAGGCTCCCCACTTAAATTTTGAAAGAATGTGTTTCAAGGAGTGGAAGAGAATGTCCCCTTTGGTTACCTGATGGTAAGCAAGCCCCTCACCCCACTTGTAAGTTTCAGCCCTCAGGCCTGCAAGGGCTGCCTTTGCCTGTACGGTTCACAACCTCTGTGGCCACAGTTTGGCTCAAGCCCTTTCTGCTTTCAGCGTCCTGGCAGCAGGTTAACCTGATTACTCGGCAAAGACTCCGCTTCCAAATAAGGTTGCAGTCACAGGTACCAGCACTTAGAACCTCAACCTCTTTTCAGAGGACACAATTCAACCCAAAACAGTTGTTGTCTTTTGGGAGAAGATGTGTTTGGCATGCAGAGAACATATCATTATGTTCTGGCAGCAGGGTGAGTGGTAGTTTCAAGTTCATAGAAATTTGCTCCTTTATAATTGGATTTTATCGAGTATCTTTATGTGGTAAGTTCCTTAGGAGCTTGGCTGATTCTGTTAATTTGGCTACCAGGATAATCTCTGTGGAGGAATGTGAGTTACTTAAAGACTTTTGATGGTCTGAAAATATTTAGATATAATTTATCTCTGCCTTTTGTAATAAAAAGATACTTTCTGTAAACATGGACCATGAAGATCATTTTTATAAAATCTGTTCCCATGAATTTCATTCTAAAATAGGGAAAGGAATGGAGAAAATTAGTCTTTAAAAGACAGCACTCTTTTTCTTTTTCTTTTTCTTTTTTTTTTTTTTTTTTGAGAGAGTCTCCCTCTGTCACCCAGGCTGGAGTATCTTGCCATGATCTCAGCTCACTGCAACCTCTGCCTCCTGGGTTCAAGTGATTCTCCTGCCTCAGCCTCTCAAGTAGCTGGAGCTACAGGCATGTGCCACCACACCCAGCTAATTTTTATATTTTTAGTAGAGACGGAGTTTTGCCATGTTGGCCAGGCTGGTCTCGAACTCTTGACCTCAGGTGAATCTGCCCACCTTGGCCTCCCAAAGTTGCTGGGATTACAGGCGTGAGCCACCACGTCCGGCCAACAGCACTCATTTTATCATGTATTTATTCAGCAAATACCTATTAAGCAACTTATGGGCCTAAAACTGTGCTAGCATGGGTAACAGGATGACAAATCTGTGAGCCCTGCTGATGGGAAAAGGTCAATGTTGTTTTACTTACCACTGGATTAACAGCTCCGTGCATTATGCATAGGAAGGCGTCAGTGAATAGCTACTAATTGAACAAAGGAAGGAACTTCCGTTTCTTTGGGAAGAACAGACAGGTAATTCATTACAATGGAGTGTGATAGAACCCGTTCCGTTACTCTGGGAGGAAACCCCATCCTATCTTGGTGAGTGGAAGAGCTGATCCCAGAGGAAGTCAAACTTGTTTTCAGCAGGGAAGAGCAATAATCAGCTCTGCATTTCAGGATGATCCCCTAACTGGGTATGGAAATTAGATTGGATGTGGTTAGAACAAGAGCCCAGACGAGATGCAGTGGGAAATAATCTAGGCCTGGGTAGCAGCTGAAGTTAGAAAGAAATGGAATTGTGTCTAAAAGTAGAGGGCTATTGTGGAGGTAAA